TAAAACATTTTTATAAGTTTAAAATGGTATTTTTTTTAATATAATGGCCAAGAAAGTTTTTTTGAACTATGTTTATGAACGGAAATAATGTGTTAATTACGTAAAGTTTGAAAGCTAATAACCAGAAAAAGTCTAACTTATTTTTACAAAGAGAAAGATGCAAAGTTATCATAATATCTTTGCTTGCGATCTCCGAGATCTGTGGACACAGTGACGTCATGAGAAGGGAAATCGTAGCTTCAGCTCTAAGAGAGGAGTGAACTAGACCTTCTATTCTCTTTAGCCAGGGCCCTAATGTAGCTTAATGAAAATGTAGGTTTAATCTTAACGTATTTTTATAATGTCAAACTTCAAACTGAAACATTGTTAATAGTTGACGAAATTTTTTAGTCCAGGTTCTAAAAATGGTGTTAAAATGAGATATGTCTTATTATTCAAATGATGCGTTATAAATACAAAAAAAATTGTTTTCATTTTTCTTTAAAACCATATCATTCTTAATTATAAAGTATATTTCAATTTCATTTCGAAGATTTATTTTCACGTTAAGTGAAAATGTTGAATAAATTTTTTTTTTAAAGATAGAATAGCTTTAGACTTTAAAATGTAGGAAAGCTTAAGTTATTGATATTTTTTTTTATTTATTTATTCTAGCTTGAATTTAATGCAGGGAATTATCCAGCATAGCAGTAGCCTTTTAAGAAATTGTGATCCTATCAAAACTTATAATTCATTCTTAAAAAAAAATTAAGTTAAATGAAAAAGGCAGAAATTAATATATTCTAGTAGATTTTAATCACTTTATTTTAATTGCGTTAATCGATGATATATGAGTATTCGAAATCAAGCATACGCAGTTATTTAGTTCTACATTATAGAAAAAGGAATTAAATTCTTTAGATGAATATAAAAATAATTTTTCGCCATAGAAAAGTTTCAACAATGCTTTATTTTTTAATTTTTTTAAATACTATAAAGAATGTGCATTATAATTTCTTTTCACTTTGTCTGTTTATTTTTTATTATTCTTTAGCTTTAGTGAAGCAAAAACGTCTAGCTTAATGATATTCACTGAAATTATGTGGATAAATTATATAACATTAAGTGAATTTTTAGTAGATTATGTCTATAATGAACAGATATTTCAATGGACTAGATTCTTGAAAGTTTTGATTCGTTTTCAGAGATACCGAATGTTTAACCCGAGATTTTATAAACAATTTTACGTAATTTTTTTTTAGTTAAAAATGTATAATATATTAATTTTACTATTTTAGAATTCTTCATTGCAAGCTCTGACAAATAGTTTTCAAAATTTGGGAGATAAAATAACAATAACCATACTTTGCAAATACTATATTGAAGAATGGGAATTAAAATTTATAAATTATAATTTCTAGCAGTAGCGAAATTCCTATTTACTCAAAGAATAATAAATAAGCGTTAATGTGTATTTAAATATTTAATACACAGTAAAAGACAAACTGCTTTATTAAATATTTACTTCAAAAGAAAATACTTCAACCCTATCGAAAAAAAATAAAAAGCAGCAACACTAAATTATATTATTTGAATTCTTGAACATTAGCATATAGAATGTAACGATGTATTCATATTTTTCTATCAACTAGATTTATAAAAATACTCATTTGTTTTAATGCAATTCCTTATAATTCATCGATCCCATATCTAAATGTATACTATTTCTATCCAATCTGCGGCTTATTTTAATTAACTAATTAGGCTGTCATAAAGAATTATTTCAATTTAAAAATCGGAATAAAATAATATTTTTTATAAACTTTAACACCACTGATTTCAGCCGAAAAGAAATGTTCATGCGCCGTGAAGAGCTGCATAATCATTTCTTCAAATATTTTAATGATAAACAGTTTGGAATTTTAAAATTTTTCATTTCAAAACCGTAAATTTAATTCACAAAAGTTTTACTAATAATTTAATACAAAGTATGTTCATACGATAAAAGTGATATCTAAACAAACAGAATATTGAAATAGCCTCAGAGGATGGAGGCACGTTTCCAATCAGCACACGTGACGTCATAACCAATCAGCGATCATTTTTGATCGAATTACTTACGGAGGTCTTTTGGGCAGTTTAAATGTTTAATAATTAAATATTTGGCGAAAAAAATTTTACGGTCTCAACGGCAATTTTTAAGGACGCTACGCCCACCCTATAAAATCATTTAAGATGAAGTTTGCTATTCGATGTAGATTTCGTGCGATATTTGACCATTTTCAAACCTCTTTTGCACCCTGAGTATATTTTGTGTACAAAATTCAGATATTAGTAAAAGATACAGTGCAAAAATAGTAGGGCAATTCCATGAAAAAGGGGAAAAGCATTGAAAAATTCAAATAAGAATAATGTTATCATTTTGGATGTTTTCTGAATTAGAAAGGTTTGAAGTTTGATAATTTATAAAAAAAAAATTGAGAACTTAGTTTTTTAGTGTTTGTAACCCATTGAACATTGGCATTTGCTTGTTCTGAATTGGGTGAAGAACATGGTCAGATTTTGAAAACCAGTGAACATTATTTTTATTTCAAAATTCTCAAAAGAATAAATATTGTTTATTACACTTAATAGAAATATTGTGCAGAGTTAAAATAAATTTTTGTTGTTAAATTCACTTAATTATATATATTTCAACTAAACATTAATGTATGTAACGTAAGTTACCGAAAAGTAGAAAAAGTTTTTATGTGTAAAAAAGAACAAGTGATACAAAAGTAAGAATAATATTTTTTCTTTCTTAGAGGCTAACACTAAATAAGCAGCAATAGTTTTCTTTTCAAATATTACTTATTTATTGTTTTGTGCACTATTCAATATGTGTAACGTAAGTTACTGACATGCATGTAATGTAAGTTACCAATGTGAAATGAGTTTATTCCTCTTGAAAATTGGCATACAAACTAAATAAGATGTATCCAGTTACAATACCAAAGTTTAAATAAATTATCACTGCCTTAAGATATTAATTTTAATGAAACTCTTTGCTTTAAGTTATTAATTTGGGTGTTGGCATTCATATGTTTTCAAAGTTGAACGAAATCTTTCGACAGGCACCGGGAGTTAAGGATGTAGTTATAATTAGAGATGCTAATGGTAGCAAAAAGAAAGTACAAGCACGGCATCTTCATCATTCAGTTCGAGAAATGCACCAAATGTTTATGGAAGAAAATCCAGAATGCAAAATTGGAAAAACTAAATTCTTTGAGCTCCGTCCAAAGCATGTCTTGCTTAGTAGCAAACTTCCAGGCAATGTTTGTGTTTGTAAGCATCATGAAAAGTTCGGATTGACTAAGGAAGCCTTCAGCAAAATTTATAATGTTCCATCTTACGAAATTCTTTAGAAATTTATTTTATGTTTAGAAAAAACAGCTGAGTGCGAGTCTCTAGAACAGATGAGTGGAGTGTCTAGTCTATTCTCAAAATCTCCACAGATTAAAAACATTAAGCAGATCCACCATTTAAGAGTACAAGAAGGCATACCAGAAGAGTTTTTTTTAGTGAAAGATGTTGAAAAAGAAAATGATGAATCCAAGATAAATGCTGGGGGTTGATATATGGTTAGATAGGAGGACATGTTATATCCTGGTGTGGTAATGTCTGTTGCAGAGCAAGAATTTAAAGTCAATGTAATGGCTGCTGTGGGAATCTATTGTAAATGGCCAGAAAAAAGAGACGAAATATTCTACCAGAAGGAAAACACGGTGAAAAGAATTGAGCCCCCTGTACTAGTTGATAACAGAGGACTTAATAAGTTTGCAGTTATGTGTGAATCAAAAGTACCTGAATTTACTTCATGTACACTTTTTCTCCTTGCACTATACTGTTTAAATAACTTAGTTTGCATTTGTACATTATTGGAATAAAAGTTTGATACAAAGGGAATTTCGTAACGTAAGTTACCCACTTAAAAAATTATATTTAATTTAACTTTTGAAATAAAATCTTAAATCTAGCCATAATAAATATTTAAACATATCAGAAAAATGATACATATAATCTTAATCATGAAACTTTTGTATAAGAACAGAATTTTGCCTTCAAGCATATTGCAAATTTATGCCATTCCTTTTTCGGTAACGTAAGTTACCACACTAATTTTAGATTTTTACACTGTTTAAATTGAAAAATATTAATTATTTTAATTAGATTCCTTTTGGTTTTGATTGTAATTTTAAGAAATCACTTTATTTTAATATGTGTATTAGTATTATTTGTTTGCTAAGTTCTCAATGCAATAAAATTTGTGTGAATGTAACGTAAGTTACCGTGGAATAGCCCAGTAAATATATTTTAGTACAGAAAATAACTTAATATTTACGGGTATAGTAATACAGATAAAACTGATATTACAATTTAAGATTTATCTTTGCTTAGACTCAACGTTGCAACAGGCTGGCTGTCCGTGATCCAGAAGTGAGCTGTGACCTATGAGTTGTTCACCGTTTTCTTAAAAAGACTTCATACTATTGTGGGGAACGCAAATCAACTAAATTTTGAAACACTTGTTGCAATTACGGGGATATTTCTGTATCGTGATCTGTCGCGCCAACTACAATCGTCAATGTGCCAAATAGATTTTAAACTTGCAATTTTTTTTTAAAAACATGTAGATGTTTTTTTAAAAACATGTAGATGTCCGCGGGTGGCTACGAGTTACCTTTCTAGTAGATCTCCTTCTGTGGTGTTTTATTTATTATTTTTTTAGTTTCTCGAGGGCCACTGCGAGGAAGTTTCCAAGACTTAGCCACAGATCACGATACGGAAATCTCCCCGCAATTTATGTGTTAAAAAAATAACAGAGCTTGTTGCATCTATACTGTGTCCAGCAAAGAAAAAACTTCAAATAACAATCGCGTACAGATAATAATTTATACCTAATCTGCGATAGTTATAAAAGATCAAGGTCTTTTCCTAGTTTGTTAAGCAAAAAAGCACTGAAACAATTAAAAATATATTACCTTAACAGAGATCTAGATATCTCTACTTCTAATTGATGCTCCATAAGTAGCCGTTCACTGGTTGAGACGAAATTCTCCCAATTGCTCACAACTAGAGCAATAATGGCTCGGTGGGTGTTCTCCTTCCAGCCATAATCTGGTTGCCTAATGTGCAATATCCACTCGACACCACTTAATTGGGGTGCTGGGCAAGACGTTAGGGCAGGGGATGCACCAGTCCCATTGAAATCGTCCGATTCCGAACCTCCATTTTCGTTCGCTTTACTACCAAATCCTAAAAAATTAAATGAGATTGGTGAATCTATAGAACGAGAGTTTATAATTTTTTTTAATTAATTTAAGACCAAACAAATCGGAGATTACTACAGACTAGGTTAAAAAAAAGCTCTGTTTTTGTAAAAAATATGAAAAAATTTACTCATAATTTTATGAAAAATAGGGTCCTGCTGTTGTGAAGTTACTTCAATCAGTGGCCTGTCTATACTTGGAAAGGCCCTGTTTTTGTGAATTTCAAGAAAACAAGAAAGTGTTTTTAAACAAGTCATTTACTGTTTTTAAAATATTTTTTGAAGCGTCCTGCTTCAACGATAGAAAATTTTTCTTAAAGCCTGTTAAAGGCTTAATTTCTTATAAAACATCGCCAGGTTAAATTAAGGATAGCTAATAGTTTTAGTTTGTAAATGCGATTTATTATAAACTCGATCAGTAATTTTTAAAATTCGGTCTAAGTTCAAAATATTTTGTGAGAATTTATTTTAAGTTCTGAACGGCATCCTTTTGTTCAAAATTAATGCCTGCAAAAATGGAATATTCCATGAAGTTCAATTTACAAAGTAAAGCCATGTCGATTTTTGGACAATAACTAAAGACCGTAGACTAGTTCTAATTCTCATACCGCCACATATCACGAAATACAGATATTTCACAACGTATCCTAAAACTATTTTATACAAAATGTTTTTACATAGGTCTTCAAGTTCATTATCTAAACGAAAATTATTACTTACCATAATATATTCGATAAATTTTTATTCACATTTTCTGAACGCATATCAAAAGTATGCAGTAGTAATTAAGAATAGCTAATAGTTTTAGTTTGTAAATACGATTAATTCTAAGCCTAATAGGTATGCTTAAAAAAATATTTAAAGTTCAAAATTTTGTTATATTTTAATTCTGAACTGAATTCTTTTGTTTAAGCTGTTTAAAAAAAATTTCCTGGAGTTCAATCTGCTAAGTAAAACCAAGTAGATTTCCAAACTAAAGAACCTGATATGATCACCGCAAACTATTTCTGGACGATATCATAATCTTAATACCGCAATATATCAGAAAATATCAATATTTAAATATCCTGAAACACGATATTTTCCTCCAATTTTACATTGGTTTTCACGTTCGTTACCCAAAAGAAAATTATCAACACTCACCATAAAATATTTGATCAATTTTTTAATAGTACTCGCAATGTTATTACCAGTCAAAAACTATAGTTATCGATAACACATGTTATCGAATTCTATATGAGCAGAATTCTGCTTATAGTTACAGTAAATAATTGTATTCAAGTATTCACTATGTATTGCGGAAATATTTTAAAATTTCATTATCGCACTATATAAAAATATCAATTTATTGCCCAACCTCACTTAAGATTTTTATTTTCTACAACAGGGGTTTCCAACTAACATGAGGCCGGGGGCCACAATGAAAAACACAAATCAAATGGCGGGCCGCAACTTCATCAAAATTTTATGTTGGACTCTTATGTTTGAAGGATCATTAAATATTACTGTCAGATTTTTACCAAGTTGTACAAAACAAAAGTATTGAATTACAAATTAAAATAAGTAGATTTTTAAAAATATTTAATTGCATATTAAAAAATTCGGGCTACAATAACTTTAATGCGCATCCATGTATTAAACAATTAATGTGCAACTATTATTTTTGTTAAGATATAAAACTTTAAAAAGGTTGGTATTAAAACTTAGATAGTAGCACACAAAATGTTCTGTGACAAAATTGAGGTTTGTCTGCTGAAACCACCAGAGAATAGATATTTACATTTTAAATTCAAAATTTACAAATGTGTGTGTAAACATTTTCGTCCAAAATGAGTGGTTTCAAAAAGTTAAGTAGGAGAATTTCATCGAAAAAATTTCTGATACGCACATGCTAAATTATATTCACAAAATACAAAAAAAAAAAAAAAAAAAAAAAAAAAAAAAAAAAAAAAAAAAAAAAAAAAAAAAAANAAGCTACGTGGAAATCAGTAGTACTAACTGCTTGAAAAAAATAGAATGAAAATTTCCTTAAAAAAAAAATTTTTTTTTTACTTCATTATTCTCAAATAAGAGCATAAAAATAGCGAGCCTTTTTTCCCCACTCCGATGCGCGAGGAAGACATTTTTGAAATAAAATTCTGAAGATATTCAAAAACGAATATCAGAAGAAATGAAAGAAAAATATTACGTTTTTCTCAACTTGAAGGTCGGTGCAGCATGTCAAAAACTTTTTCCACACATTCAGGAACACTAAATTTTTTTTAAATTTTATAAATGAATATTTTAAAATTAGATAATGCACCTTGAAAGTATGACGTTTGTTATATTTAAGAAGACAACTTCTAACTATTTCCTCGTTATTCATAGCGTAAACTATTAACGATCTATTACTGGCAGCAATTTACTTTTATTTTCGTATTTGTTTCCCGGTGAGTTACTATTCAACAGAATATTTTTCTTAATATTTAGCGAAAGTAATTTTCCAATTCGAAACTTACATGAATCGTACTTGAAAAAATGCGGAAGTGGTTTATTTGCAGCAGTTTAAAAGCAGACATGTTATCAAAAAGAAACTTTAGTGAATCAAGTTTTTGACCTTAAGGAAATAAAAACAACATTGTAAAAACTTGAGTATTCTGGGAAAAAGGAACTGAAGAGCTCCGATGAAAATACGACTTTCAGTGTGTTACACTTATATACTAATTCTAAAGGTAGACCGACTGCTCTGCCATTTTATACAATTATTACAATCTTAATTTTGCATCAAAATTTAATCATATATGTTATTACTATTTAAAGCATACTTTCAAACCGTCAATGTTAGTCACTACTGTAAATTAAATATTAAAAGGCCATTCAAGCATTGGTTAAGCACCAAAAAGACTAAAAATCACCAGAACTATTATCGTAATTTTTAAACAGGCTTTCAGGGTTTCTGGAAGAAACAGCTCAAAGGTTATTAAGAGAAGATTTATTTAATTAATAGGGGGCATAGAGAGGAAACTTTCCTATTTAAAAAAAAAAAAGAATTTAATAGTATTAGAGACGAGCCTTCAACGTTCCAAACTTAAATACCCGAAAAATTGATAAATACTGGAATATCTGAAAGAATATTCTAAGCTTTTGTATTTGCAGTAGTTTCTATGTTTAATTTGCCGTATAAGGTATACAAACGCTAAAAATTATTAACCCATTACTGTACTTAAGACCCTTTTTAAGTATTATTCTAAAAATGCATTAAAATTCCAAAGTAATTTATTTTTTGGCAAATTCTTTTAAATCTTTTTCGTTTTTTCTGTTACAACAGGGTGCGTAGCGTTTCTAAAAAGTGCTTAAAGGTGCTTATTTTCGATTTTTAAAAGCCCTTAAAGGTACTTTTTTCATTGTGTGTTTTTAAAAAGTGCTTAATTTTCCCTTTTTAAAATGAGATTTTTCCTTTACCATGCTGATTTTCGCTACGAATTATGCAAAAAGACTCAGTTCACGTTGTTCTATTCAACGCTTTCAAAATTAATTCAACCCCATTCTATTCGGCGTATTGTCAGTCCGTAGCGCATGAAAATGCCATTCGTTTTACACGAGTCAAAACTTCATGATTTTTGGCAATTGTCAAATAAAACATTTTCTGGGTGCTTAAAAAGTGCTTATTTTTGTTGAATAATTTGGCAACGCACCCTGGTTAATACTGCATTAACGGAAATTTATGTTCACTGAAATTTATAAAACAAGTGATGGTTCTTTTTCTAGAACAGCGGTTCCCAGATGGTGTTCTACGAAACCCCAGGGTTCCGAGGAAGATTTAGAGGATTTTATAACCAGTAAGGAGTTTTGAAACCTGATTATATTTAGATACATGCCTATAATTCCTGATTTATTTAATATCGCAGTTGCTTACATGAAATTTCAAATGAAAAGCAAATGAAATAGAAAGGCATTTTACTAATAACAGTATATTGAATAAGTCATAAATAGAATATGTATTTATAAAATATTGCATTAGTATTTTCTATGCCGCTTTTCAAATCAAATTGAATTCATTAATAAGGAAATATGTTTCCCGAATAACCATTTTCAACGTTTATAGCAGTTCTTTTAAGTTTTTATCTTGAAGTAAACAATAATTAGGCTTATTTAGCTTATTCGCATCTTATATATGATATCAGGGGTCTGTTCAGAAGAAATTTGGGTTTATCTTGAAGTAAACAATAATTAGGCATATTTAGCTTATTCGCATCTTATATATGATATCAGGGGTCTGTTCAGAAGAAATTTGGGTCCGTTAACCGGACCCTTCACAAAATATCTTTTCATAAAAACGGACCCTTCACAAAATATTTTAACTTAAAAACGGTCTCTTCACAAAATGATTTTTCTTATAATCGGACCCTTCACAAATTTGTTTATCTTCATTATTATTTTGTTAATCGAATAAACCCTTTCCAGGGCAGAAAACAAGAAAGATGGATGTAAACGAATTAACTTTTTTTGTCTTCGGCAGACGATTCTTCTATTATTCGTCCGAAATTAATATTCTGCGTTCAGCAGTATAGGCTAATTCCCAAATATTATGTTGCATCTCTAATTTAGAAGCAGCAATTGTTTACTTTTTAAAATTTAATTTTTTTAATTATAATTTTACAGTGTTGAGCATAATCTTGTATGTCTTTCCAATTTAAAAACTCCTTGAAAAAGTTTTTTTTTGCAATAACGGACCCTATTTGCACAAATTCATAAAAGCGGACCCTGGTTGAAAGAATGTAATTTTTTCACAATTTCACGAAAAACGGACCTTTCACGAAATGTCTTGACAAACCCCTGGATATCTACCCAAAACAAATTCATAACTAAACTGGATATAGCACAAGGACTGTAAATTTAAGTGTCGGACATGAAACCTAATTTATTATTTATGATAAAACGACGAAAAATATTTCACAACACAAATTTCGAAATCAAAAGTTCACAACTATCTTAATTTTATAAAATCTGGGTTCCTTCGAAAAAAGGGGGATTTCTTGAGGTTCTGCAGCTGACAAATATTGGGAACCGCTGTTCTAAAAAGGGATAATTCCACACGAAATTTTCCATACATTTCTTTTAAATTTTACAGCTACAAACGGGCACAAAAAACTGCTTTTGAATAAAACGCGAACGTGTCGAGAGAAGTGTTTTAAAACTTCAATTACTTGAAATATTCACACGTAAATAAGTAAATTAAAAACTATTTCTACTCTGTCACATGACTTCGGTTTTAAAAATTTCCTTGGTATTTTGCTCAGATCACTGACTAGAGCTTTCCGGTATTCCAGAAAATTTATCATACGCCTTACAAACCTAATTTATTACATTAATTTTGTTTTCATAAATTTTGCATTAATATAAACACTAACTAATTGTTAACTTTAATTACGCATATTTTGATTTTGTAACGATTATGCTTCGGGGAAACATAACGAAATAAGGAGACTGCTTTAGGGAGTTATAAGTTTAAAATAGATTTGACTTCTTTACTTATTTGAGTTTTACTTAAATCATGCCTTTAATAAGCATGATGACTTCTTTACTTATTTGAGTTTTACTTTAATCATGTCTTTAATAAGCATAAAATTTTTTTTAGAAAAACACTGCTAAAAAATCATGGCTAATTTCGAAAACAGAAAGTTAAATTTCATTAAATATTCGATTTGCTTTGATTTTGACTAGATTTCGCTAATTTGAATCGAAAATCTAATTATGCCGGTTAAATGTAAATGTGAGTGCATATTTCAGTAAAATTCGGAATAAAAACTTCTCATTTTAAGATTTCTATATTTAGGCATTGTTTTTAATTAAATCGACGCATACAAACAATACGTTATATATTGCTAAAGAATAAGAGGAAGTTTTATTAAATTTAGTAACTAACGTTTTTCTCAAAGATAGTCAATTTTTTCCAAGGCTTAACACCAGTTAACATTCATAATATTCTCAATAGCAAGCTGTTAATATTTCAAATAATGTACACAAATTGAAATATCTTATTCGTAGATACAAATTGAAATATCGCGTTCATAAACAGAAAATTCAGAAATTTTAATTTCGGTTTCCCCCATTTACTCTTTCATTACTTAAAATTATATCGAATAATCGGAATATGGAATTTGTCATAAATTGTTCAAAACAAAAAATATATAATTTTTAGATGCAAGCTAGAAATTTAATTTCTACAATAGCTGATGTTTGGTGCACTTATTGTATAATTTTATTTATATATATATATATTTTTTTTAAAAAACTGAATTCTTAAATCAAAGTATTTAAAGAAATTATTAGAGACAGTGCACTTAAAAATAAAAGCATTTTAATCGTTTCAACTATTAAAACTTTTTTTTAATGAACATGGATTAATTTAAATTTCAGTTAGGATTTTTATTTTGACATGAAATTGTACTATTATCTGAATACCTAAAACCAAACATATAATACTGCTATGTCATCTTAAATACGAATTAAAAAAGAAAATTCAAATAAATATAATTTAAATTGCATAAATTTTAAAGAAAAGCAAAATAATTCTTACCTAATAATGCTAGAGAGAGCCATGGTATACTGAAGAAACACAAAATGCCAAAAAGTCTAAGGTATAACATTTCAATGTTGAAGGGGAAAAAAAAGTTTTTCTTTTAAGCTACTGCAGAAAGGAGTGTGTTCACATATATGAGAATTAAATAAAACTCCCGCGATTATGCATATTCACAAAAAGTTGAGTGGTGCAGAAGGAACATCCGAATATTACAATATCGTTTGCTAAAAGTATTAAAACGGCTCAGCATGTAGTGTTAATTACTGGTTAAAAGAACACTTGACCTACTTAAGGCGAAGAGTTACGATTAATTCCTTCATTTAAGATGAAGATGAGACCGATAGTAAAGTTTTGTTTTGATTTTACCGTGCTCGGTGATAAAACAGACGCCAGAATATAAAAATGAAGAACGAACGATATTTCTTTCTACTCTTGACGGAGAACGAAGCTTATTTATTTCCCGAACGATCAACTGACTGCAAGGATTCTGGTTCGTGACGAATGGCATTGAAAAAGGAATTAATTCTACTACTTTTTTCCCCAATATTATGAGAATAGTATTTGCTGTGATGTCTAGCAAGCAGGAAATTGATTATGAAATTTTTGAAACCTCAATGAGTCTTGATTAATGGCGATTATATATATTTTGTTGTCAAAAAATTCTGTTTTATGTTATACATAATTTATTAAAAATAGTTTAATTTGATATTATTTTTATTGCTTTATAATTTCATCACAGTAGAATTTACGACTAACTACGTCACTGTTGACTATTCCATTTAGAGATATTTAATACCATAATATTCTTTTAGAAAAGAAAAAAAGAAGTTTTAGCTTGCGTTTTTGATTCAGATGATAATAAATTTAATTTATTGTTTATGGAGAATTTTTGAGGCATTTCTGGAAAATAACAATAAATAACATCAATTTCAAGATACCAATTCTTATTAAATGAAAGATTTCTATTTTATTTTATTTAGCTACAAACTTAAGAGTTAATATCCAGAGCTTTTATATTTAATATTTATTTTTATTTCCACAGAATTTATATTAAAAAAAAAGTGTAAATTCTACTAAGGAATATAACTGATTTAAAAATTTTATTTTTAGCTTTTATTAATAATGCAGGTAAAAAGCAGAAAATCTCTGGAAAAAGAATTCGAAATACTTTTTTCAACTCGAGAAAAACGATCAATTTTTAAATAGAATTATTTAAACGAATTTTATAATCATGTGCAGAAATCTTTGGATTCCCTTCAAAAGCTCCCCAGATGAGGCGAAACACAGGAAAGCTGAAATTAACATTATGGGGACCGAACTTATAAGCTTTTGACTATTTTCCTGATTAAACTATTAAGACCATATTAACCAGATTGCGACTGCCTTCCATATATAGATGGTCAAAATTGAAATTCGTCGGTAAAAAAGGTGTGTTAATTCATAGCAACATAAGCGCAACGTCGGGGAGGGGGCATAGGAAAGTACGTGCACCCTCAAAAAAATTTCAGATTATTTTTTAAAATTAATACTTTAAAAGAAAACACCAAAAAAATATTTTTAATTTTAAAAAAAACTTAATAACCTTAGACATCTTATTAATAATTTAACGAAATAATTCTATATTTATCACTTTTTGGTTCTTAAAAACCGTTCAAGAATATTTTTAACATTATTTCGATCATTATTTAACAATTTTGGTGTAACAATCGATAAGTATTAATATGGTTTATAAATGAGGTTATTATTTAGTTTAATTTATGCACTTTATAATTTTTTTAGTAGCAATTGTTTTCTATTAACATTCTATAATAATTTTTAAAGACCTGTTTATTTTTTGTAACTGTCTATAGATTTTAGTATCGTTTTCGTTATTTTGTAAAGTTATTTTTGTTTAATAGCATTAAACAACTTTCAGCTTGTTTAGAACGTTAAATATTTTTATTCGAATTTGTTTTAAGTATACATTTTTAGATAAAATACTTATGTTTTTTTATTATAATTTTTTAAACAAAAAGTTCCATTTTATACGAAGTAGAATAATTTTCGGCATGTTTCAATAGAATGTGTTCTAAACTATTTTATTTTATAATCACTTAACTTTAAAAAACTAACCGGATTGCACTAAACGCATACAAATATTAAAAATTGGTACATTATTGCACATAGTAAAAATGTTTTTCTTTTAGATTTTAAGGGAATTTCATATCAAGGAATTACTTTGTTGAATAATATATAAATTACATTATGATGGATCTGATTTTCTCATCATGTAGGGGTAATAGTTAAAAACGAAAATCTGTAAAAACTTATTTGCGTTTTGGGCACTGTGGGTAAAGCGATCATATTACAAATAACAAGTCAAGACTAATTTTATTCAAGCTACTCCTTCATTAAAAATATATTTTGCGCAGTTAGATTTGCATCAGATTTTGTATTATTTTTTATGAAATAAAATATAATTCCCATAAGAACAATTTCCTAATATTTACTTAACGTGGTTAATGTTAGTATATATTAGAAGGAAAAGTTGAAAAAAAATCAATGCAGCAGAATTTTTAAAAATTAATTGTCTCAAAAATTTCTCTCACTCTACGCCTATGCCAAGCAAGTATGTTTTTGTGTCTGATTCCGCAACTTAATAATTAACTCTGATTATTTAGTATATTCAAAATTAATTCTTTGAGCAATTAATATTAGAACAATGAACATACATAGAGATCGTGGACTTCATCAACGACATGGACATCTTGAAGACAGAAAAGCGACTCGTTAACAAAACATCTAGTCGAGATTTAAACATTTTTACCAAAGAGTTCCAGTTTTTCAATTAATGCATTTTGTCTTTTACTTCTTCACTATCTTCAAAACACGAACCAACGGCCATCGGTATCGTCTATAATTTTAGGCAGCTCGCCTTAAGGACAATCTAGAACTGTACAGCACGGTAGTTTTATTCACGTCACACTAGAGCTACATGCGTCGCATCACGTTTTACAGGGAAGTCACGTTCACACACCATCCATCCGTAGATCGTAATTTCGACCCAAACCAGAGGACGATCAATCCCAGATCCAGTATCCCCAGAGGTATTGATTTTTGGGAATTTGGTTGACTTTCAATCTGCAACTACAGCTGTATTTAGCTTAAGTAGAATCGGGGGACGTCGTAGCCCAGTGGCTAGAGAATCGAACTTCGGTCCGGAGCGACCAGGGTTTGATCCTCGACTACGTTAAGATGCGTAGAATGTTGTTGTTACAAATCCCCCATGGAGAAGGAAAGCCTAGACCAGGTCCAGAAGGCCCCGTCGCGTCAGTTCCCCATATATCTGCAGAAAGTCCCGATCAACCAGCAGCTGCTTATAAGAAGCGCCAAGGTCAAAAAGAAGGTGATCAGGACTAGCAGGTTATGAGCAGGAACAAGGTTGGAAAGTCCTCTCCCCATGTTGAAACCTTAAATATGGCCATGGCCGATTGTAAAGGCCGAGGGCCACTGCATGTTAAGGTCTGGTTTCTTAGGACAAGCGCCTTATCTGGGAGTCAGCGGGACGTCAACGTCCCGCTAACGCCGACAAAATACTGGCTTCTAAGCTCAAGGCCTGGTTTCTTAGAACTAGCGCCTTATCTGGGCGTCAGCGGAAAGCTGACGTAGAGCTCACGCCAAAAAAATACTTTTTTGTTAGCTCAGCGTGAGCAGTCGGTCCAACGCAGACATTATCTCTCATTGCGCATGCATTAATAACGTAAACAAATATTTATTTTGAATTTGTATAGATTTTGTTATTGTCGACCAGTGTTTTAGAGAACAAATAATGACTTTGTTCAAGAAAAAACACATTATAGCTGAGCTAAATGAAGAGTGCTATGTTTAATGAATAAGCTATGTTTAATGTCGAAATCAAAATCTTGGCTGATTTCAATGTGCTGTTGTTTGTTGTCCGCCATTGCTTCTGTGGTTAACGTCACGTTGTAATCCAACTGCAGTTGAGTTGGACGGCAATTGTAGTTCAAGATGAGCGTTTGATGACGTATGCTATCAAACTCACAAATGGACCAATCAGAGGTTAGCGCTGATTTCCAGCTGACGGCGTCCTGTCCTAAGAAACCAGGCCTTTAATGATAGGCCAGGGCGGTTTCCAGCATACCACTGATGGGATGGAGTACGGCTCCACACTGGAAGCAAACGATGTTTTCGATCCATAGAATACATGTGATATGCGTGTTCGTAAAATTTGTGGAATCGAAAGTCCTGTGGTCGGTCGCTGAGCAGTACCGTGGGTACAGGGATCTGGAGAAAATTTCCTTCCTCTTCAAATTTATGTCTGAATGTTTCCCAGACCATCACCAATAGTCTATTGTACTTAAATAAAAGTACCTGCCTAAATAGAATCATAGGTTCCAGTTCCAACCGCTTATTTCTGGGCTATTCAAAACCCATCTAATAGTTATAGAAGGTCAAGCGATGAGCTTACCCAGTTCTACAATTAAAAACTCGTATGTTACTCGTTAACAAGCTCGACGATTCTTCGCGGATTTTGAGACACCTTTCTTTCTGCAGTGTGATACCTTTTCTTAAAAATTGAGTCTTAAAAATATGCATGTTTTTTAGTATAACTTATCAATAAACTGTAGTATTGCTTTTATTGCTTTTCATAAAATTAAAAAAAAAAATTAGTAAATTGCAATTTCTAATATCATTGCTACTACTACTGTAATTTGCAACTAAATTTATTTTAGAATTTTTTTTTTTATACTTTTAAGCAATGGAAGTAATAATAGTAACAAAAGAAGTAATAATAGAAACAAAAAGTAATATTGGAAGTAAAAGCAGTAATATTATGTAGAAGCAATAAAAGTAACAATACATTCTTAAATAGTTAACGCTCTATTTTTATTCTTCCATTTTATGTTTTTGTGAGGAAATGACAAATCTACTAATAATTAAAAAAATTAGTTAGGGTCAGGTGATTTTTAAAACGAATAATATATATTTATATAAGAAATCAACTTATAATGGTTATTTTTTCATTAAACGTTTTATTTTATTTTACTTCAACAAAAAGACGTGAAGGAATGACAAATATATATAAAAAATTTTTTTAACCTAATTTGACGTATTCAAATGTATTTTATACACAGGGTTTCCGAGAGTTGAAAATGAAAACATGCTATTATGTTGTTAATCGAAAATCATTTAATTTTTTATTAAAACAGATAAAAAATCCCTGTTCGCTGCCGCTCTCCAATCCCGATGATTGATTCACAATAATTGTTGTTTCTTAGCCTAAAAAGTTTTTTCTGCTGAAGTTGAAATTATTCGCTTATAATGTATGTGATTGTGTGATTTCTAATGAAGATGAGAGAGCATAGCTGAATTCCTGGTTTCTTAGGACAGGACGCCGTCAGCTGGAAATCAGCGCTAACCTCTGATTGGTCCATTTGTGAGTTTGATAGTGTACGTCATCGAACGCTCATCTTG